CCTCCAGGAAATGTGTCCACTTGGGAATCTGCTTGGATTGAACGTGATTCAAGGCTTCGCAATTGCAGGTGAGTCAGGCTCACCCCAGACCTGTTTCCTGAATCTCAGCACATCACCCTCCTTCAATCCTAGTCTACACCTGCCCAGCCTTGGTGAGCTCACCCTGCCTTTGGCCACACCAGAGGCCCCAATCACAGCACAGAACCTCTCTCTGCAGCTGCACACTGTTTAGAAAGCAGGAGCTCTTGCTTCTCTGCACAGGGATCTTGACAAGAAGCCCACCGGCAAAATCAGCAAGATCAGTCTGATCCTGTGTGACCCTGGGTAAGCTAATTACATCTCTGCCTATCAGTTCCTTCTTCTATAAAATGGGTTCAAGAGCATCTAGTTCATGGTGATAGTGTGAGGATCAGATGAAAAAAACATATATGCCATCATCCTTAACAGTCAGTCCCTGTGATCAGAAATTTATATGCAAATATCAGTGTGTGGATAAAAAACAGTGAGAAGTAGCTATCATGTACTGAGTGTTTCCACGTGCCAGCCACTATTGGGAGCACTTGATGTTGGTGTAGATATTTAATCCTCAATACAACCCTATGACATGGGCACTATTATCAGCCCCAATTTACAGATGAGGAAATGGGGACTCAAGGATGTTAGTGACTTCTCCCAGAATAACAATGTAAGGTGACAGAGCTGGGCTATGAAATCTGGCAGTCCAACTCCAAAATCTTTACACACAGCCAGCTCAATTACCTGTAAAAACAGTTGCTGTTGGCATTGGTTTGTGATAGTATTATTTATCTTAGTTGCCCTCTATCTGGTATAGTCATCTCCATATCCAATGTACTCAGTTTCTCCTGTAGTATTTAATCTCAAAAAAGAAAAGAAAAAGGAAAAAAAAGAACTCCCCAGCCCCAGCCCCTGCATTGAATTACATCTCCCAGAATTCAAATATTCCACCTGGGCTAGGCTTTTGGCCAACCATATATGGTGGAAAAATAGCAAAAGCACCTCATTAATAAGGCTATAGTCTACAGTAAGAGAAAGGACTTGTTTAATTCATGTAAAATGCTTGGCATTTAGAACATATATACTAAAATTCACCTTTCCCTCTTCCTTTCTCTCTTTCTTCTTCCCTTTTCACTGTGTCAGGTACTTTACTAGGATCTTTAATTTTTAAAATCTTAATCCTCATACTAAACCTGAAGGCAAGTCATTATCCGGTTTAGCAAATGAGGTACAGGCACTTACATAAAGCCCTATGGCTGGTAAGTGACAGGATGCAGGCAGGATTTCTACCCATCAATGTGCAGCTAATGCCCTCTACTCCTTCCTTCTCCCATCCTGCTGCAAATGCCACCTCTCTGTGAGACAAGTAAAAATCTCCTTGGCACCTGTTGCAGTAATGGCACCCGCTCAGAGCACTCTGTCTCCTACAGAGTTCAACAAGCAGACAAATTGGAGCTGAGCAATCAGTTCATTTGCAAATACAAACTCGCTCAGCTAGAGGTGGTCCAAGGTTCCCAGTGTTAGCACCTCTGTCTGACACTGCTCCATGGCAGACAGGTGCCCTGTTGTGTGAGAAATGCTCATTAGAGCCTCAGATTCAGATGTCAGGAAGCAGCCCACAGCCAGGCCAAGGAAGTTCAGCTGTCCTGGGAAGCCTTCAGAGCCCAGTTTCCGTGTGTCCCCACTCCCGTAGCAGCAACAGTCAATGCTCTTTAAATGAATATAATTGAGTGACTTTCCTGTGGTGGCATTCTAGGCCTGCTTTCCAGGTGAATGCAGGGAGGATGTGAAGACTGGGGCAAGCTTTCTCCTCTCAGGAAAATAAGGGCATCACTGAGAGTTCTTTCTTTAAAGTTCCCAGAGGTCACAGCACATTTCTTGCTATCCACACCTGACAACTTGCACAGGAGGAGCAGAGACTTATTCACAAAAGTGGGCACCTGAGCTCAGAAGAGTCAAGGGTCACACAGCTTACTAATGGTAGAGCATAATCTCAAAATGGGGCTCCATGACTCTGCCTGGGTGTTTTTCCTGGTACCCCATTCTGTCCCTTCTAATGCCTGTCCAGGTACTCTCCTTCAGGAGTTTTCCTGAGTCTTCTCCATAGCTGGCATGCTCAGTGATGCCAAGCTCTGGAGATTCTTCTTTTTTATTAACGTAAGTGCCTGCTCAGTGCCTTTGGACTTAGACCTGCATTCCCTTCTCTGAGGGGACAATTAACAAAAGATAGATGCACCTGTTTGAAGCCTGTAATAGCTCAATGTGTCTCTCCTCTACAAGATTTGCATTCAGCATGATCAGTCCTTAGGATGCACAGTTTCTTGACCTAAGGATTCAACCCCAATCTACCCTTTAGGGTGTTATGGACTAAATTACCAGCCCTCCCCAGTTCCAATGTTGAACTCCCGGTAATTCAAAACATGACCGCATTTGGAGACAGAGTTTTTAAAGTAGTAAATGAAGTAAAAGGGTTGAGTCCTAATCCAACATGACTAGTGTCCTTTTAGGGAGATTAGGACCCAGATGTACTCAGCGGGAAGACCATGACAACCCAGGAATAAGACTGACATCCGCAAGCCAAAGAGAAAGGCCTCAGAAGAAATCAACTTGCCGATACCTTGCTCTCAGACTTCTGGCTATCAAAATTGTGACAAGATAAACTTCTGCTCTTTAAGCCACCCAGTCTGTGCTGTATAGTTATGTCAGCTCTTATGGACTGAAACATAGAGAGGGACGTTCTCCTGATGACCAACAGAACCCTTCACACACCCCACCGTGTTCATTTCTGGGTCCCCACAGTGCCTTATGCTGGTCATGTGGCAGATGACTGATGGATCTAAGAGAAGACTGCTTCAGAAACATATTCATGATGGCAGTGGCGGCATCTACTGCATGTGACAAGGAAGCCATTTTGCAAGTGTTAGTCCCAGGTTCCAGGTCCAGCAACACTCTAACAAGTAAGAGACTGGCAGACAAAATCTACTTGATTCACAAAATAATTACTGCAAAGGAGGTACAAAGCCAATGGGCTCAGAGTTGGAGGGATTGAAGAAATCAGAAATGAGTACATTCAAGGGCATAGAGAGTCCATTTCATAATGGAAAAAAAGAGAGGAAAATGCACCAAGAAAAGTGGTTTTACATAAATGGGAGCTTAGAAGAAGAAGCCTTCTGTATGGTCTGATGCAACTGTAAAAGATTTCATGGGGGATGAAAGAAACTAGGTGCACGGACAGGATGGTTAGGTTGGAGGGTCTACCTAAAAGAACCCAGAAGGGGTTAAATCCTGAGTGCCAGCAGAGCAGGTGTTGAGGGGATAAGATGTAGGTGGCATCCTGTCTCTTCCCTTCACATGAGGTTTACAAAACTCATCATCACTGTCCTTTGAAGCTACCTACTTCTTTGTTTTGGAGAACTCCCTGTACAACTGCACCCACTCCCTGTTATAGAAATCAAGCATGTCTTCAGGCATGTCCAAAAGTCCCCAGGGGACAAAATCATTCTTATTTGAGAACCACCAATTTACACTGTAGCTTTGAAACGATTATTTGTTCTCTTCTAGTTTTGAACTTCAGTTTCCTGGATTGTACAAGAGGGCATCAAATTTATATAACACACACACACACACACACAAACACACACACACACACACAGACAATTATGGCTGCCAGAGCCTGAAAAGTGAGTTTGACTTGGCTCATTTCTTTTAACCAGTGGATTTCTTTTTAAAATAAATTGAAAGCAAAACTCTCAGCTCTGAAATGAATAGAAGCAGAGCTGTTCCAGATGAATTAGGGTGGTAAACCACCAACCCTAACCACTTGCTGTCCTGCAATGTCCTCATAGAAACCCTGGAGGCACCACTACAAACAATTCCCAGCAGCAAGCCCAAAATTCCCTGGAAGAATGGTCTGAAGTACCCAGATTTTCATCCTGGTTCCTTTCCTGTTTGTGCCTGGGAGGACAGGAAGCCCTGACTCTGGGAAAGGCATGCACCCTGTCCGTCTCTATTTCCCACCATCCATCAGAAAAATCAGGTCCATTCAGGGCAGGCTGGGCTTCTGAGAGTCAAGTAGGGCAGTGAGACTCTTAAGGAGGCACATGCTGTCAGGTGAGGGCCCACTCAGGGACCTGGCCAGTGAGGGCCTTCTTAAATGATTGGCTATAAGTGCCCCATCTATCTCATTTCACTCCAGGCTCTGGTCAAAAGCCCTCAAAAGTTGAGTAGACTGACTCATCAGCTAACCCAACACATTTACCTTTAAGATGGGGATGTTAAAGTCTACTTTGCCAAGTAATTTTAAAGTTAAGTAGATACTACATTTTAAGCCACCAGAAGAAGGCCACATAGCTGTTAGGGCTAGTGTTACTTCTCTTCCTCAGTCAGACAGATCAGAAAGAAACCCAAGGCTGAAAGCTCATGGTGCAATTTCCTTTGGCAGCTCCGGGGGACTGATTCTAGGACTGCCATGGATAGCAAAATCTGTGGATGCTCAAATGCCCATATAAAAGGGAGTGATGTTTGCATATAACCTATGCATATCTTCCTGCATACTTTCAATCATCTCTGGATTACTTGTAATCCATAATACAATGTAAATGGTATGTAAATCGCCGTGGTACTGTATTGTTTAGGGACTAATGACAAGAGCAGAAGTCTTAACATGCTCAGTGGTACAGATGCAATTCCCCCCCTCCAAAATATTTTCAATTCAGGTTTAGTAGAATTTGTGGATGCAGAACCTGTTGATATGGAGAGTCCACTGAATGTTCAGGAACCCAGGTGAAATCCAATGTGGCCAGAGCCAGTAGGTGAGAAGCCAGAGGCAGTCACAAGGCATTGCTGATCTGAACAGCATGGGGCCTTGCTTACCACCCCAGATGCACCATCTCCATTGCATTTCCTTCTGTAATAAGTGGATATGATCTAAGAAACACCAGGTGACCGACTGGTGCCTGCAGAGCCGAGGTGGTGGTAGCACATACCTCTCTCTAGGCAGCTGGTGGTTGGGGTTGTGGCGGCAGCGTACACTGAGACCGAAGAGCTTGCGGGCAGTGCGCTGGATCTTTTGCCTCTGAGCCTCCGTGGCACTCTGGAGGAGCTTGTAGCGGTTCTGCAGGTCCCAGTCGTTGCCCCAGTGCTGGTGGATACTACCGATGGTCAGGAAGTGGTTGCTGGGGAGACGCTTCATAAATGACTTAAATTCATCTAGCAGGAGACAAAGGTCAAGAGAGAAAGGCTAAGCATGACAGCACCCATCAGAAGCTCTCACACTTAGCCCTGCCTCTTAACGCAGAAGGCTTGCAAATAAAACCAACTTGTCCAAGGCTCATGGAGCATTGCACAACCCTGCTCTCCTGTGAGGCAGGCAAAAGCCGCTGTGCTTTTTTAATGACATGCATCCTCACACAGCATCCTTGTTTAAGACAGGGTTTCCCAGACTTCTGCATTGGAATGCCAACTTTAGGAAAATGTTCACATCTCATTTGCACTTATATGCAGCCTTTTCTTTGAATCAAATCACCATAGTTAAAAATTTAAAAATTAAAATTTAACTTAAAAATTAAAAATTGAAGCAACACTTTCTTAATGCGATTCTTCGTTGAAAATCACTATTGCATGCCTACAGCAGAATGGTAGCTATAAAAATAAATTTGAAGAAAACAGTATGAATAAACTCTAGTCAGACACTGTTGCCTGCTAAGTGATCAAACCCTCATGCCTTTTTTCACTTTGAAACATAGAAAATTAGCACGTGTTAGAAAGGTGTTAAAGGCATATTAGCACCAAACAGAAACTTTCTCTTTGATGTAATCTGAAGGTTTGACAGAGACCTGAAATGGATGATCCTCCCCATTCAGGCACCCAAGTGTTATGTGCAGTTGTACTGATCATCTCTGGCTTTGGCTTTGGGAACTTGGGAAACCCCAGTTTAAGAGATGGTGACAACTGGTGGTGGTGGCCCACGCCTGTAATCCTGGTGCTCCATAGACTGAGGCAGGAGGATTGCAAGTTCAAAACCAGCCTCAGCAACTTAACAAGACACTGACTCAAAATAAAAAATAAAACAGGATGGGGATATGGTTTGGTGGTTAAGCGCCCTGGGATTAAATCCTAGTTTCAATAACAACAAGAGAGAGAGAGAGAGAAAGAGAGAGAGAGAGGACATGGTGCCACACTCTTGAGTCTTCTTGGTGAAAGTTTCCATCTCAATTTGTGACGATGAGTTTCAAAAACATCATTATTGGCTACAGCTTGACATGGTATTAGAAATGATGCAGTTTGTTTTTCTTGCTCTCCATCTAGGATTGGGAAACTGAAGCTCATGGAGAGGAAATGCTTTTCTGAAGATAACCCAGCTGATTAGCTACAAGAGCCAGGTCCAAACCCCAAAATCTTGCTTTCCAGTCTAAAATTTCCTTGCTGCACCAGCCCCACCATCCATCTTCAACTACTGGGAAAATTAAAGAATTGAAGGAGTGATCATTTTTCAGGAGAAAAGGACAATGTTTGGATTAAAAGCATATCTATCTACAATCTAAAACTTTTACTTCATATTTTAAAAACATACAAGAAAACTCCAGGCATCTTAGGCACTCATTTTATTTTTAAAAAATGCTCGCATTGCTTTCAATAAGCAACAGACACAATCCTGAGCACCTAACAGAACTGATTTTTATATCAGACCTTGAAGTAGGTAGTTTGGTGCCCCTATTTTGTAGGATTAGGGCACAATGAAGTTGGCTAATTTGCTCAAGGACCAGTTGTGAATAGACTGTAGAATCCAAACCCTAGCGAGGCTCCAAATCATAGTTTTGGACTTTGTATATTGCACTTACTCTCCACACTCAAAGAGGGCAGTCCTGAGGCTCAGTATACTAAGAGAAAAAATTAATAATAAGTGCTGAAAACCAAAGTATATGATCCCCAGAAAACCTCTAACACCCTGTTACAGAGAGTTGATATGCACGAGTTCAAATCATGTTTTAACTATGAACAGTTATTCTCTCAAGCCCTATTTCCCCATCTGTCAAATGGGTACAATGGTATCTAATTCAAATCTGATAGAGTGACATAGGATCATATCTGCCTAAATAATTACAGATATACCATAATACCTCAATGAAGGGCAGTATAAGATTGATGAGAGCCCGGTTTGTGTTAGAGGCTTGGTCCTCAGCTTGGTGTTATTGGGAGGTGTTGGAACCATAAGGAGGTGGGGCTTATTGGGAGGAAGTTAGGTGATTGGGGATCTTTCTTTATTTTTGCTTTCCACCACCATGAGATGAAGAGTCAACTCTTCTGCCACACATTCCCACCAGGATGTACTTGGTCTCAAACCAACAGGGTCAAGTAAAGATGGAAAGAAGCCTCTAAATTCGTGAGTCAAATATAAACCTTTTCTCCTTTAAGTTGATTATCTCAGGTATACTGTCACAATAATTGGAAAGCTGACTAACCTAACACGATAACTTAGAGCTCTGCACTGATTGATTTATTTAGTGAGCTGACTGAAGACAGGAGACTGCCCCTAATGACCTATGCTCTCTTGGTCAGCCTGACTCCTGTGAACGACATATAGCTCATCTTAGAGAGAGTTTTGTTAACGGGGTAACAGCCCTTTCAATGAACTCAAATTCAAATTTGATAATAAAATAGAATTTAAAAGTTTTGTATTTAAAATTTCTTGACTAAAAGGAGACAAGACTCTCCAAAGGAAGGAAGTACAGACCTCACTTTATAGAAAATAGGTCTTGTTGACTACCCTCCAAGTTATTGGAGGCTGAGGCATTAGGGTAAAGGCTGAAAATGAGCAAAAGGAATACATCCCAGCACAAATCACAGACGCAAGTAAGAAGGGATGGATCTATCTTTATGGGCAAATCCATGTCCCATGGATAAAGGAGGGGGTATCTGGTGGGAATGTGTAACATGAATCATCTTCTTAGCCTGCAGCATCTCAACTCTGGTTCTAACCCACTCGAAGTGGTTTCTGTTCCTTGGGAATTAAAGTTCCCGACTGCTTTTTAGCAATCAGTAAAATTTCTTTGCAAAAGCATTTTATCAAATGCTTTTTTCATTTCAGTCCAAATAATCATCATAATACATTTTCATCATGAGCCTCTTTTATGGATTCCCCGGATTTTAAATAGACTAATGGGTGCAGGTTCATAGGCCTCCACAGCTCCTTTCGAGCTGCATGACCCTGTGAAAGCAGAATCCCTGGTGCCTCCTGTGCTCCCAGTGCTGGATGGGGGCTCGGGGTTCACAGAAACCAGTCATTTTCAAACTCTGCTCCGTAAAGCTCTGCTTTTTATCTGTGGTACACAGTGGCTCCAAGGTAAGATTTTGTTTGATCAAAGGGATTTTTTTTTTTTTTGGCTAAAGACTTACATAAATTCAAATATTAAAAATACAAACATGTCCTCTCATTTATCAGATGAGGGAACTAAGGCCTGGGGGGTAAAGCAGAATTAATAAGTTGCAAAAGCTGCTGTGAGCACTGGATTTGGAATCAGGGATTCCATTACCAAGGCTGTCAGTTACTAACTGTGTAACCTTGGGGAAGATTTGAGTCTTCATGTCCTCCCTGCTCTATAAGATGGAAATACCACTGCTGGCTTTAACACAGCTGTTTTTAACAGATTTAAAGTTTGTGATGTTAGAAGCATTAACACCCTATACACAGCCCATTCACTCACCAAATGTTTGAGCACTATTATGTGCTCACTACCTACTTGGCATATCTTCCTGGAAATGTCAAGGATTCTCAAGCTTATCGTGTCTAAAACTGATCTTGCTGTCTTCTTTCCAAACCTCCCAAGGTGTTCTAGCTCAGTGAGGGGTACCAACATCCATCAACTTAACTAACATGTGCATATTTAAACAACGCTCCTGAACATCATCTCAGTACCTCTTCTCTTCAACTATAATATCCAATACAACATCAAACCCTGCTCATTGCCCCTTCTAACTATCTGAGAATCTCTGCACATTTCCTGTCTTATTTCTGGTACCATCTCCTCCTCCAAAGTATAGGTCACATCTTACATCCCCCTGATCTACCTGCACGCTCCCTCAGATCTCTGCACCACAGTCGGATACTTAGACTTCTGCTCTTCCTCAACATGGCCTTTCCTAACTTCATTGATCACATGGACTCCCCACTCAACATCATTTGCTCACAGCAGCTCCTCCTTCTTTAAGCATGGACACTTGAAATGTCACGACCATTTGTATGGTTGTGTCATTAACGCCTGACTTTCTCACAAAACTCAAAGCTCCACAAAGGCAGAGCCAGCTTTAGATTTTAACCCACTTTATGACCTTGGGTAACTGATGTTCCTCCACTGTGACTCATTTTTCTGAACCACGAAAATCAGGAAATAGCTAAATTACTGTAAAAGAGAAGTGATTGACAGTCTTGACAATTTGTGAGTGCTTTGAATATATATATATATATATATATATATATATATATATATATATATATATTCACACATATATATGCACATATCGATACACATGCATATACATATACTTACATACATATGTATGTGTGTTTATTTACACACACACACACACACACACACACAGACTAATAATCAATATGCCTTTGACTCTCCACTCTCTCGAGGTTTGATAAGTGCTCTTACTTTGTCTTCTGAGGACAACAGAGACCATATATCATGTGACCACAAACTGGATTATGCTATTCATTATTTCATCCAATGGAGATGTACTGAGTTCCCACTCCATGTCAGCTGCTATGCCTGGCTCTGGACCCTCTAAACTGACAGAGTCTGGGTCACTGAGTTTTCCCCTCACGGTAGACCTAATTGCAATTAGATGAGGCCCTCCTCTGGGCTTTGCAAAGTCCCCCTCGTACCGTAGACTATCTGAGGCTCTCTACCTGAATTCTCCAGGTCCTTGTATGCTTCAGCCCATGACTTGGCCATGTTGGCCAGCGTGTACTCCAGGATCTGGATGTCGGTGACGGGGCAGTTGCACTGCGGGAACTCCTCGGCACACTGGCATCGGCACTGGCTGCTCTGGCACACGTACTCGCCCTCGCCATTGCACATGATGTAGCTCAAGGCCGACTGGACAAACTTCTCTTGCAGATACTGAGGGAAGATTATCTGAAGACCTGTGTGAGAACAGCAAGAGGGGGAAACAGAAAGGTTAAAAAAAGGTGTTTCATTAACAGTTTCCAAAGGTGATACACAGGAATCCAAAGCCGCTAGATTTCTCCTTGTGTATTAAAACCAGACTATTTCTGGGCCTCTGTGGGTCCAGACAGGGCATAACCAGCCAGGCCTGCAGTTCCTTCACTTCTATTTGGACTTCTCAGGTCATGACCTTGGCCATCTCTGAAATGCACACTCCATTCCGTGATATTAGTACTGAGTCTAGGGCAGATCTGATATGTACCTTTTCCATTCGTGGAGAAAATCTTTATTGAAAGCAGAATACTATTGTTTATCTTTCTTTATTTCCTTCATTTATTTTCTGTCCCTTTCTTAAAATATTTATGAACCCTATTTATGAAAAACAAGTCCTGAGCTGGGCACCATCTACAGATTAAAAAATAAAAAAAAAAGAACACAATCTTTGCCCTAGAGGAGTTTCCAATATAATCAGCAGGATAGACAGTGGACACACATCATCCTAACAGCTTTGTAGGCACAGAGCGGAGATGGCCATGGGAGGCACTGGACAGCAGAAGACTGCAAATAACGTGGCCTAGATAGCAAGGCAACCTGTACAGGGGACAGAACTGAAAATAAGGAAGAGATCATCACGTTATAAGAACAGGAAAAACATTGTAAAAAGTGGAAGAGAAAGAGCAAAACATTAACAAATGAGTCTGGGAGATCTGGATAAACAAATGAGCTTGGATGGAAGGGGGTACAGTGCTGTAGGAAAACAGGTTGTAAAGAGGCTAGATTGCAAAGGGCTTTAGTATAGACCGAGGAATTTGGGGTTCATCTGGTGGGTCACGGGTACGTGCTGGTAGACTTCAAGAGAAAGAGGGATATAATTAGAACAATGAAATTTAATACCACTATGTATCATAAAATCTAAAATACCAGTTAGAAGGACATCAGAGATAACTAGTTGTCTCTTCTTTGCTCTAAAACTAAACATACTGAGGACCTTTATAGCTAGTCCATGGTTTTAGGATGAGTACTCTAAACCGCATGGCATGATCTTTTCGCTTTATTTGAATAATCAAAGTCTTACTCCTGAGAGCCAGTGATGGAGAAGGATTTATCTGGACACGGGCAGAACTCTGGTACCTTGAAATGTCAGCACAGTGCATTGATTGCCTGTATAGCCCCAACAGAAGGACGACGCTGGAGCAGCTCAACTCATTAAGGCACTTTCAACCTGGGACGGCTCTCTCCAGCTCATTTGAAGCTGCTAACAGCTTTAGGCTCAGATACATTGGGGGTAACAGTTTCATTACCCAGCGTGTAGGAGAGAATTGTATTCTTATTTGGATTGCTCTTTATTATCATTCATGCTTCAGAGACACCCCCTAATCCTACTCATCAGGGACTTGCCGAATATACTTAACACACACTGTGGCTTGCTAATTCACAGTTGTGTTTCTAGAGTCTGTCTTTCCCTCTTGTTCCTTCAAATTGTGTGTATGTGTGTGTGTGTTTATATATGATGAAAATATATATAAATTATAAACCCCCATACTTGAGCCAGTCCTTGTATGGCAGGTAAAGTGACCATTTCAGAGGGACACCGTGGGAAAGAGCCTGCCTCGTGGTAAGAAGCCACAGTAGTAGGTAAGAGCTGGTCATCACACCTGTTGTGCCTCTCTAACTACATAAATCTTCTCAGACAAATTATTTGGCCTCTGAGGCCCCACTTCCTCTTGTGTTCAGATAAAGAACATTTTAATACCAACATCAGAGAACTGTTAGGAAGACTAAAAGAAAGATCCCTGCAAACTCTCTGGAACATTCCTGGGCACACAGCAAGCAAACAACTTATTATCTATTCCTACTGTTGATGTGATGAAGAAGAAGATGATAGTGATGATGATGTCACACCTATGATGAAATTTTTGAGGGTTCAACAGAACCGTTAGGATAAATGGAGGAACAACAGGTGCAGGTATTTAGTCGGAAGAGGAGCATTTTCAGGAATTTGTCTTTTGTTGTTGGGAGAACTCTCACAGGGAAGAGGGTTCAGAACTCTGTGCCTGTTGAACCAAAGGGCTGTTCAGGAAGGTCCATATTCCATCTACATGAAAGGTTTCTAACAGAACTAGGCAGCTGGACAATGGTCACCTGCAAAGCTGGGTAACCTCCATACCCATGAGGAAGGGGTCCATATGAAACTGACTGCTTGGAAAACTACTGCACAGGGGTATGATACCCATGTCAGAAGGTCAGGCAAAACCAATCGAATTGTAAAGTCCCTTCTAAACCGAGTCTACACAATTCTTTCAGAGTATGCATTATTGAGTCATTTTATCTGTATCACCATTTTCTCTTCCAAAGCACAATTTATTTTTAGCTGATTCCAATCCCCCATAGGCAACTGGGTCTATGGATTGGGGTTAAGTTTCTGTTGCTTAGAGGAACTCTACAGACTATATTCTCAGTGCCATTTTTCTAGCTTGCTCATCATTTTCTTTCTCCCTTTTGTAGGGGATAAAATATTCTATTCTTGGTCCCAGCCCAAAAGGAATTTGGGGAGAGCATTTTTAGAAAATTGCGTCAAATCATTTCTCCATTTGGCAAGGATACAAAAGGCAGTATTACCTACCCCGTTTAATGCAACTGAAAACAGATGAAGTTTGGGGTTGGGGGGTTTTCTGGGAGCAGCTGAAACACAAAACTGGCTGCTCTTTAAAAATGGAAACTCAGAACATGCCGAGCTGTCTCAGAGGCAGAATCTCCTGGGCAATTTCAAAAGAGAATAATGAAGACATAGCAATTAAAAAGCACTTTTCTGCAAAATGTCATTACTGTTTAAAGTTACATAACCATTTCTACGGCAGCGGAGGTTCACACAGCAGTCACAGCCAGAGTCGTCTCCCGATGACCTGTGTCCAACAAAGAGGCCCATTGCTGACCTCCTAGATTGGTGCCCGAATCCTGCCGGCTTCAATGGGAGTCATAAATAATTTGGAGGGGGATTTGGCCTGGGGAACCACTGTTTGAAAGATATACAGCTGCCGGCTGGGGTGGAATATTCTGTCCCCATGGTTCCCAAAGACACACACATACCCAGGGAAAGGAAAACTGAGAAAATTGGAGAGAAAAAGGCCGCCATTATTGCCTAGCATATAAATTGGCCTCACAAAACCCAGGAAAGCGATGGTTGAGAGTTGCATTTGAACACCGACGCACCCCCACAGAACATATGGGATATTCTCCCTCCAATCTTGTTAACTTTTTTAAAGATCTTGTGATAGTTTAAAGCTGAATGCATCACTATTCCACCTGAGCCATCTTCCCTCCTTTTCCTGACTCGCGCTGCATCCCCGTTGGTCCTTCTCCTTATCCCACCTTCAATACGTGCATCTCACAACATGCTTTGTGTTTTGTGTTTGGTAGGCAGTTCTCTCGTGCTTGGATCTTATTTCTCTCTCTCTATCTGTCACACGATGGGCCACTTCTCTGTCCTTGCCTGCCTCCTTTGTGTCACAACACACTAGGCACTCTGCCATTTTGGGGGTCATTCCAATGGGTCTGAATTGTTCCTCTTACAGTTTTGCTCTTGCCCTTCCCAGTACCCAGAATATTCTTTCTCACACGTCTGCTTGTGCCCTTTTTCTAAAGCGCAGACTTTCCCAGAGTACTCAAGTTGAAATGTCTTTCTGTTTTCTTCAAAAGAATTAAATACGGGCTTATGCTAGGCTATAAGTTTGTTATTTTTTTTTTCCATATCTTCCATTAAAAAATGAGTTTGGGGAGGAAGGGAACTGTCTGTTCACTACAGATCCCAGACTCTAAAATGAGGCAAAGCTCCCATTAGATTTTGGGACTGGGAAAACTGAAATGTTAGGTGACCTATCCAAAACCCCGTAACTAAAGGAACAAAGGAAAACAGAATGAAGACTTGAATTCAGAAACTCAGACTAATTTTTTTTATACTAGGGATTAAAGCCAGAGGTACTCAGCCTCTGGAATATACTCCCAGCCGTCTTTATTTTTTACTTGAGACAGAGTCTCACTAAGTTGCTGAGACTGGCTTTGAACTTGAGATCCTCCTGTTTCAGCCTCCTGAGTTCTGAAACAATCAAGGTCCTCCACCTCTCCGGGGGAGATAACAGGCTCTAAGATGAACTCCTGGCTCAATATCCCTAGATATCTCTAGCATAGAGCAACTGGCAATGTCTTAGGTCTCTGAAACTCAGAATTTCTTTACCTATAAATTGAAATACCAACCCCCTGACTTACTAATGAGGGGAGAAAAACGCAAAAACAACACTTAAACCACAATCTGCCTGCTATGGACTGGAAGTCTGTGACCCCCAAACAATCCATATGTGGAAATCGAGACCTCCAACAAGGTGCGATTAGGAAGCAAGGCCTCTGAAAGGCAATTAGGGGAAGATGAGATCACAAAGGAGGTGCCTCCCCCAGGGGATTAGGTCTCTTACAAGAAAAGACTCTGGAGCTTATCCCTTGTCTTTCAAGCAAAGGCCATGTGAGCCCACAGTGCCAAGGGCACTGCCTGTAAGCCACGAAGCTGAGCCTCACCAGTCACCATCTCTGCCGTCCCGGTGACATCCCACTCCCTGTCCCCCAGAACCGTGTCTTTTGTGTGAGCTGAAGTGTTTGTTATACCAGCCTAAGCATGCATGCCAAGATGGAATTAAATGTGCAATGAATGTTATGTTTCTCCCTTTAACCCCACATCTGATCAGGATCCATTCCCAGAACCAGATTCATGCTTTTCCTGGGAAATCTTTCTTAATGGATAAATGGGTTTTAGGGGATAAATGATCCTCTGAAGAACAATCTAGAAAGTGCACAAAGCATGGTAAAGGTCTCAACAACAGAACTCCTTCCAGTTGAGAATCAATCTGGTTATCACCTTCTTTTCTGATTAAGATTCACCCCTGCCAGGCACAGTGGCGCACATCTGTAATCCCAGTGGCCCTGGAGGCTG